TACGTTGACAGCTGCCGCGGGTCCGCTCCAACTCCCAGCCACCCCACATACAATGGAAGGAAACACCACCCGGTCTGGTGCCACCTTTACAATCATCGGGATGTTCAAGCCCCCTGTCACTGGGTCTTTTGAGGGTCTCCCAACCTGGGGAACTCATCTTTCGGCACAAGACAGACAATATCCTATTGTCATCAATAAGGCTTTCATTGGTTGATATTCCCGGGCCTTTCCTTCTACCCTGTCTTAGTCTGGAAGCTCCAATAAAATCCACTTACCATGAGTGACTCTGCTGCCATTGGGAATATTGTAGCATGTATGCACATCACCTGGCATGTGTAAGGCAGTATGTAAACAGGCCTTCTCTACACAGCTTAATCTTACTGTTCTTTTCCTTGTTGATCTGTGAACTAGGATATTTCCTGCAATCGTTATGTGGTTGAAATTAAGTGATTTAAGTAGTGATAATCCCAAAAGGGACTAGCACATAGTAAATGCCAATGAATGTAGCTATCATTATCTGGCTTGCCAATTTGACCGGAAGGCTCACAGGTAGAACTTGTGATATTGGCTCCAAATATGAGGAGACACCCTCGTTTCTCTTTGGACAGGGAAGGGTAATGATCCCATAGAGGTCGGCATCATGTTGTGCTCTAGGAATGCCACTGATTAAACAAATATCTGGTCAATAAATTCTAGCTGTTCATAAGCATTTATGAGACATCTCCTTATTAAAGTAAAACACAGCCTTCTCCACTCATACTCATGCTCAGCCCTTTCCACCCTCTGTTCATCTCTCTAGCCGTGCTTTCTTTGTACAGCAGTCACTGCTAGCTATTTACATCTGCCAGGGACCAAGTGAATTTTCCCCCAGGACTGAGGCAGAAAGAAGTACAGCTCTGAGGCCTCACAACCAGGATTTGACTTCTGGCCTGAGCAATGTAGTGAGCTCTGGTAGCACAGTGGTTATGAGTTGGGCTGCATTCCATAAGGCCAACAGTTTGAAACTACCAGCTGCCCCGGAGGGGAAAGATGAGGCTTTCTGCTTCCATAAAGAGTGACAGTTTCAGAAACCCACCAGGTCAGTTCCACCCTGTCCTACAGAGTCGCCAAGAGTTGTAACTGGGAAGTGTACTTCTTTCTCAGAGCTTTTAACTACCATCCAAGAAGCCCCTCTCTCCACATGCCCTGGCTCACTCCAACAGTGAGCTTCTCCATAAAACTGTGCCTGACACCCCCAACGTTGCATTTACATTTGAACTCGAATCCCGCAAGTGGACAGTCATTAGCTTCTCAGATCGCTTCTTCCATTACTATTTTTGTACATGCCTGAGAATCTCCACAATCAAAGTCTGAAGATAAAACCAAGCCAACTTTGTCTTCCTTATAGCACCCAACTGTATTCTGTAAATGGTCATTAATTATGTGCCCAAGGAATAAACTCATATTCCCAAATAAGCTGTAAGGAGAGATTTGTGAGGAGGGGGTCAGTACCCATTCTATATCAGTTTATCTTTCCATATAAGAACTCCTTTAGGAAAAGAAACAACATTTGTTTGTCTCACTTGTGAGCTCAAAATGACTCTCAGGAAATAAAAACCATGGTGAGGCTGTTGCTGAAGCCCTGTATATCAGAAGCAACAATAATGACGGCACAGTTTCCAACTCTGGCATCCACTTGCTTGATTTTTCTCAGAATACGTTCTTTGTGTTAGTGCTTTGATTTTGTGTTTTTAGCCATGGCCATGTTTTTATTCCAGTCTGCCGTGGAAACGTCTGTATTCTCCTGGAAAAGGAAAATACTTCGTTTAAGATCTTCCCTGACCTGACAACATGTTAATAACCCCCCGCATCCAGGAGTACTGTCTGTGGATTCTATGTGGCCAGTGCGACCCGCAGAGAAGTCTAGAGTGCCTTGGGAGAAACAGCTGACTTCAGAATTGGTTTTAAAATTTACAACAACAACAAAAAAGTGGGAGGTGGAGACATGTCAGATCTGCACCCCAAAGGAATCAGTCATGGGCGGTTAAAGTAGATCATGAGTTTCTCTCCCTTTCTGCAGTCAGACAGCGCTGCCCTCATGTCATTTTTATGTGCCCATGCTCTGTTTTTAGTCTACAGTGGCGAGGCCCTAACTTTGTCATAGAGGAAAGGAAGAAAGCAGGAGGGAACCAGCGCTCAGTGCGCACCTGTTACATGCCAGGGGCAGAGTCTCACCTTGGAGACGGGAGCTGATGCTCAACGGGATTAAACATTTTGGTCAGAGGCAGGAGGTGGTTGGCAGTAGAGCCCAGCATAAAACCCGAGTCAGCCTCCGTCTCGCGCTCATAATCTTCTCATTGTGCCTGGCTGCCTCCCAGATGAAACTTCATAGTAAAATTCTCTATAACAGAATAGAGAATCTAGAAGCACAGACTCACAGCCCAAACTCATGAAATTGATGTGATCAAACAATGTAATACAATACATTCCATTGTTTTACAGAAATACAAGGGAAGATTGAGCAACAAACAAGAGACCCTAAAAAGACCAAATAGTTAAAAAAGAATTTCTAGAAATGCCCTAACAAGTAGATTCAGTAATATATTAGATACAACTCGAGAAAGAATTACTTATTTGGAAGATAGACTAAATAATAGACTAATATCAATAAAAGGGAATTAGGGAGCTAAAGATAGTATGAAATAAAGAATCTAATAGACTAATATCAATAAAAGGGAATTAGGGAGCTAAAGATAGTATGAAATAAAGAATCTAAGGTTAATACAGACATGCAGATACAGACTATATGAAACCCCAATTAAAAGTACTAAAAAAACCATATGAAACCCCAATTAAAAGTACTAAAAAAACCAGTGGTGTAGTACGTTACACATTGGCCTGCTAAACTCGACGTCAGGTTCAAAGGCACCAGCCACTCCACAGAAGAAAGATGAGGTTTTCTACATCCATAAAGATTTACAGTCTTGGAAACCCACAAGGACAGTTCTACTCTGTCCTATAGGATCACTATGAGTCTTAATGGAAAAAGAGATGAGAGAATGTAGAAGGGACACTAAAGAAACAAAGCTTGGGATTTTCCAGAATTATTGGTTGAATAAATACAAGCCTTCAATCCTAAAATCAGAAAACCATTACCAAGTGAAGGACCCTCCCGTATCATTCTAGTCGACCAAATCACAATTAGGACATGTTCTATTATGTTTAGAGGTAATTGTGTTGTGATGAAGATGTGGTAATTTCACTACTCTATACTACTTAGGTTTCAAAAGTGGATGATATTGTGAAAAAAACATTCATCTTCATCTATCAAGCTCACTGTTTCTTTTCACAAAATTACTTTGCTGTTTCTAGTAAAACTCAGTCCACAACAGAACCTACACTGGAAATTCTCAACCTCCCTGGAAATTCTGTCTGATAGCATGTTAGCCACCTCGTGGTTTGATAAAGAAGCTTGCTGGCTGAAAACCAGCAGGCTCAGGTCAGCAGGAGTGAGACAGAAGCATGTTTATGGAGGGAGACATCTGAGGGAAAGTAGCCTACCAGAATTTTCCTAGACCTTGAAATAAAATTGGATTTAGCAAATACCAGCTATCTTAGTTTCTTAGTGTTGCTGAAACAGAAATAACAAACAGCGGGTCATTTTGAAGGACAGAAATTTATTCTCTCACAATTCAGGAGGCTGGGAGTCCACAATCAGGGCCCTGACTTGAGGGGGAGACCCTCTGTCTGCTCACCAGCAGGGAAGAACCCATGTCGCTGCTTTCAAGCCCTGGCAATCCGCAGGTCCTAGGCAACTTCCAGGTGGCACGTATAGTTTCCCCATTTGTGCTTGTTGCCTTCTCTCAGTGGCTAATTGCTCTTTTGATAGCTTAAAAGTCATTAAGTTTAACGCTTCTCATACACCGATATGACTTCATTTACATAACCAAGAAAACTCTATTTCCAAATGGGATTGCCTCCAGGGGTATAGGATTTAGGATTCCAGCACATATTTTGGGGGGACACAATTCAATCCATAACACAGTCTAATACAGATGCCTCCCCAGCCTAACCACGGGGAAGGGCTCAGGTCAAAGTAAGACTAATTTTAGCTAACATTTGTGGGCCATTTACTAATTTCCAGGTATAGTGCTGGGCAGGTAGTTCGAAGAGGAAAACAGGAATGAGATTAAATCCAATCACCAAACTTCCTTAAACTCACATGAGTGAAACAAAGTTGTTCACAGTTTTCACATGCATCCATGAATCCTAAACCAGGTGTGTTGGGCCACTGTCACTGGACTACCCAAAATAAAACAATAAAGCTAGTTTCATGTCACCTTAATTCAGAAAAGCAAACTTCCTGCCATAAAGGGCAACAAATGCCCAGAGGCTTGCGTTGTTGAGGGTCTTCTCTTGAATGCAGTCAAAATACATGAAACAAGACAATCCCCAGAGAGGGATGGTTACAGAATTAAAAAGTCGGTTTAGTCATTGCCGTTCACGCCTTGCAAAAGGCCGCGAGTCTACCAGATACGTCCTAGCCTTGGGCTCGGGGCAGTGAGTTTCAAAATCAGAATGCGTAGAGTCACCTGTAAGCGCAGTAAAGATACAGATTCCTGAGTCTAGTCAGAAGGATTTGGATTTGGCAGGGCTGAAATGAGGCTCAGCATTCTGCCCTTTTTTGTCGGTACCGTGGGTTAAAGAGATCCGTTGTGCAGAGCACCCCTTACAAAATTCAGTCTTCAGAGAAATAGCACCACAAGCCCTCCCTTTCCCAAGAACACTCAGACTCCTGAACCACTCCCGCTGGGCCTTCGAAGTGATTCCTGGTGCAAGCGTCCGGTGTGCTCTGGTCCCCGGAGGGACAGAGCAGAGCCACAGCCGTCTCCCAGCCTCAGGGAACCTGTGATTTATTATGAGAGCCTTTGTAGAAATTCATTCAAACAGCATCATGCTCTTACGAAAATTATTTTCATACAGTTCTCTACTTCCCTTCTCCAAAACGATGTTGGACTCACCTTTTTATAGTTGGTATGATAATCGGCCATTTTCCTCTAGCCTTCGACCTCAAATGCCGTGTTGGGAATGAGAAAGGACAATGTGGGAAAGACAGGTATTTGTAACATTTTTTATTTGACCTAGAGGGGGTGGTCAATATGTTTACCGGATTGCAATAAAACCAGTGAGGCACTAACTCTCTTGAGTAAGGCATGACGTCGCATGGCTATAACCAGGGAGGTGGAGAGCGTATGTCAACATATTTGGACAGGTGGAGAGCGTATGTCAACATATTTGGAGAGGTGGAGAGCGTATGTCAACATATTTGGAGAGGTGGAGAGCGTATGTCAACATATTTGGTAATACTTTTTCCAACTTTGGAGGAGCCCTGTTAAGCATTCTGCAACAATCATTTCCTTAAGGCAATGAATATTCCTCGTGATGAAACCAACTTCGAACCAAACTCACTGCCATTGAGTCAATGCCGACTCAAAGCAAGCCTACAGGACAGGGTAGAGCTGCCCCTGTGAGTTTCCGAGACTGTCACTCTTGATAGGAGTAGAAAGCCCCACCTTTCTCCTGCAGAGTGGATGGTGGTTTCAAACTGCTAGCCTTGCAGTTAGCAGCCCAACCCAGGGCTCCTGTAGATTCTACTTATTACTAAGGCATACATTTTTGTTATTTCTATTGAGTAAACAGATCACAAAGAAGAAAGACAAAAGTATGACATCTATTTAATTTAACATCTGTTCATCAATGTGGAGATCCTCTGTCCACTGAATGCTATACTGCAAATGTTCACTCCAAAGAATTAACTCTCTCTTTCCTTTCCCCACCCAGGAATTCCCGATGACTCTGCAAGCCAGTCAGCAACTCAGCACAAATGCGCTCTAAGTCACGTTGGCAGGTTGTGACAGAATCACACAATTGCATGAGTTTCCTCCCATTTTGAAAATGCCCAAACAGCAGAGGCAAAGGGAATGAAATGTCAGCGCCAGCAAAGCCTGAGAGACAGGACGCTGTGCTCCCTGGGGAAAGGCTCGCCCTGTGGCCTGGAATAGAGTCAGCAGAGGGAAATGGCAGCGAGACTTCCAAGAACACCCCTAACTTTGCTGTTTCTTGGACTCTTCGTGGAAACAACAACAATATCGTGCAGAAATGAAGAAGGGGACGCTGTGGATTGGTAGGTAAATGAAATGGAAGCATTGGTGTGTGTGATCGGAAAGCAGCATATTGGTGGCAGCCTGGTTCACTGTGAGGTTCTTAAGAAGGATGTCCACCTCCCTTTCCCTCTTTAGGAAGGAGAGGAGTTGAAGTGTGCAATAGACCAGGGACCCAGACCGGGTTAGGCGTTAGAGTGAAGGAGTTTTCCTGGGAAAAAGAGCAGAGCAGCCCCTCGGGGCCCAAGTCACTGTCTTAGACGAGGTGGTAGCCAGGAGGAGGTAGAACTGACAACTGATCCCGGTCACTTGTTGTCCTTGTGTAGTGGTTTTGCTCACAATAACCTTCCACCAGCCTTTGAAAACAAAGCAACAAACAAACAGCAAAACTGTGCCAACAAGTTGCTTCTCACTCAAAGTGACCCTACGGGATGGAATACAACTGTCCTGCAGGGTTTCCAAGGCTGTAAATATTTACAGGGCTGACGTCACACCTTTCTCCCTTGCGTGATTGGTGGGTTTGAACGACTCACATGCTGGTGAACTGCTGAGCACTAAACCACTGAGCCACCAGAGCTCGTGAAGAGCCTGGGAAAGAAGAGAGGCGGGTGATCTTTTCCTGCGCTTGGAGTCCTCTTCACGAGGACAGTGAGCAAGAGAAAGAGGGGCGGGTCATGGGCAGCATGGGTTGGTTAACAACTTCTGTGTGTAAGGCAGCTGCTCAGGCAGGAGCTGGGAAGGAGGGCAGGTCGCTGACCTCTTGCCCCATGTTCAAGAGACGAAGTGCAGGGTTGCATGATAGTCCTGGATTCCTTTACAACTGCCATCCCTTTCCACTCTTTAATTCGGATGTTGCTTTGTCATTGTGGTCAGCATCAAGTTCACACCACTTCATGGTGGAGAGCACAGACACCCACACTCACTCTTCCAGCAAACAGTCCCCGAGCTGATCACTGAAAGCCTGTGCTGGATTTTAAAAATACAAACATGAAGAAAACATAGCTCCTGCGCTCACAGAGTTCATAGTGACGTGGTAAAGCATAGATGGGGCATGCAGGAGCAGAGAGGGCATTCTGAGTTGAAGATTTAGAGAATAACTTTGAGTTAGCTGGAAAGAGAAGGGGGTGAGAGGGCAGGTCGATGAGAAGACATAAAGGCAAGACTTGGAGAGCTGGCATTCCTGTGCAGATGGAGCTTTAGGAAATGGTAGGTGAAGAGGCTAGCGAGTGAGGTGAGCGCCAGGTCGTGAGGGTTTGAGAGCTCAGACTGGTCCTCCGAAGGAGACCACGGAAGGACATCAGCAGGGCAGACGTGCATTTTGGAAAGTTCGCTGGCAGCGCAATGGCAGTTGGCTAGAAGGCGACTAAGGCAAAGTCCATGAAGCCAGCTGAACTGTGTAACATTAGAAATGAGAAGAGTCACAGCATTACAGGTAAGGACCTGAGCTGAGAAATTAGAGGTAGACATGTAGAGGAAGCAGCATTCTGAGAAGAGGTGAGGGGTTGGAGGGGAGTTAAGAGAGACTTTCAGGTTTCAGGGATCTGTGACTGCATGGACCGGTTCTCGAACACTGCACCATTTCAGTGCAAAACGTTATAAAATAGGTTTCAAAATATGGTGACGGGAGTCTCTAGGACATCTTTGTGTCTAGGTCCATCTGGACCTCAGTACAGCGATTTGAGCTAGAAATAGATTCAGGAAGGTTCAGCATTGACTCAGAGACTGTCACTAAGATGAATATTTTCAAAGTACCACCCATAGCACACTGATGGGCTGAAAATGCTTCAGACATGGCCACCAAATTGTGAGCGGGGCATAAAACGTGGTTTGCTACAACTGAATGGCTATATGACTTGATGGTGTCCAAGGGGGAGAGCACTGAGCTGAGCAAAAAGCAAGGGTGAGTCTCAAGCTGCTACAACGTACTGTGAACGTTAAAGAGCAAAGTAACAGCAAGTCCGCGCCAAAGAAATGATGTATTTATTTTCTGGAACACGCGAGGGCCCTTCCTTTTAATTAAGAAATTAATGGTCTGAGCAGGAAACAGTTCAACAGATGCCTAAGACTGAAGAGATGACTCAAACGTGTTGATGTTCTATAGGCAGTGTAAGATGCTGTCATATAAATCTGTGCATTTGTGTATTTATTGCTGTAAATCAATTGTTGAATTGATTCCAACTCATGGTGTCCATACGTTTATCAGAGTGGACCTGTACTCCAAACAGTTTTTAACCCCCGATTTTTCAGAAGGAGATCACCAGGCCTTTCTGCCCAGGTACCTCTGGGCAGACTTGAACTGAAAATATGCAGTGAGCAGCCTCGTGTAATAACCATTGTCAACACCCAAAGAGTCCTATATAGCAATACAAAACAAAAGCAACAACAAACTCACTCCCTTCCTGTCGATTCTGGCCCATAGCGGCGCAGTAGGACAGAATAGAACTGTCCGTGTGAGTGAGGAGACTATAACTTTATGAGAGTAGAGAGCCTCGTCTTTCTCCCATGGAATGGCTGGTGGCTTTGAACTGCTTGTAGTTCGCAGCCCAGTGCATAAGCACTATGAAGGTAATACTGGCATCTAGTCATTAGAGGCCAGGTGCCCTGCAATCACCGGACACCCGATGCCACAAAAAAGTGATCTGACCTAAAATGTTCATAGGAATACTGTTGAAAAACCCGGGGCTAGACAGCTGAGGTTCCATAAGCTGGGCCTAACCACCTCCCCTCTTGTGAGATACCCAAAGGAATCCATAAACAGGAAACAAAGGGGAAGGAAAGCGCCCAGTTATAAGCTGATGTTGGCCTTGACTTCTTAATGCAGAGTCCAACCGAAGCCAAAGAGTCTGGCCTGGGTCAGAGGCTCAAGGAGGTCTCCCTCTTCCCTGAAGCTCAAACCCACATCTCACACCCCATCAGCCAGTTGCAAATATATGAGCATGCCAAACAGGAGCACAGGAGAGAAAACCACATGCAGTGATCCCCAGGGTCGCCCAGACCTCTCTCCATATAGACTGCAGAAGAAACAGAGAGCCCTTCCCAAGGAACATGACTTGCGCTAAAAGCAACTCCATACACCCACCAGACCAATAAACATAGTTGTCCAATAAGGTTCATGTTTCTTTTTCTGGGAAGAAGCAAGGAGATGCGTAGAAAAAGACTGAGAGCAAAAGACAATCCCTTTCCTTAAACTTGGCCGCCTCCACGAAAAATAATGAAAAGTATCTATTTACGACGTTCTTAGAGGGACTGCCATCAGACAAGCACTCATAAATGTCAGGAATTCATAATTCTTTCTCTTGTCAGGTTTGTCTTTTATAAGTTACCTAAAAGGCGAGACAGGGAAAATGGAGAGACTGGTTTAGAGTACCTGTACCTAGACTCCACAACCAGAAGCTGGAGGAGGAGCGAGCAACTAATGAACGTCACCAGGAGTGTTCTGGGGAAGACGCTACAGCAACTCTATAAAGCGTATGCGTCCAAGGTACGGCCGAGCTCCTCGTTCCTTTGAATCAGACATGATGCGCTTTACACTTTCATGGGAAATGAAGTGAAAAGATAACAGAATTTTTCCATAAACTTTTTGAAGCACTCTCATAAAGTACATAAGCTTCGAAATATCTAAATATATTCCAAATATAAAGCTTCTAAAATAATTTTGTTTTTTTCTATTCATTTATGAACCTGTATTGAGTCAGAGGTGCGATCAGCATGGTCGGCAGTTGAAAACCACCAGTCGCTCCTTGGGAGACAGACAGGCGGGGCCTTCTACTCCCTAGAGCTACGTCCCAGAAACTCAGACTGGGCGTTCTACCTGCCCTTTAAGGTGGCGATAAGTCAGCACCAACTCGATGGCAATGAGTTTGGTTTGGGTTCCTTGACTAATCCCAGTGAGAGTGTTTTTAAATCCCCAAGCACACCGTGCTTTGCTGTATTGTGCTGTTGTGCATGGGTTGCCATGAGCGGGAAGCAACTTGACAACAACGCCATTCCCGGGATTGCACTGGGTTCAACCTTTCGCTTCGAATTGAAAGTTAGCCGTTGCCACTCAGCACCCTTTCGGAGAGAGAAAGATGAGGCCGTTTCTTTCCTGACACTTTGCAGTCTTGGAAACTCATTTGTGTAGTTCTACTCTGTCTTATTGGGTCACTGTCAGTTAGAATGGACTCAAACAGGTTTGGTTTGGCTAATAGTAGCAACTTAAATGAAACTAGCTCAGAAGTAGCCCTGGACAACTCTCTGAGCCAATCTGGCCTAAACCTTGAGAAAGATGCCATTCTGCTCTCTCCACCCACTGGCATTGAGTTGATTCCAACTCAGATGGACCTGATCGGACAGAAAAGAATTTCATCATAGAGTTTCTGAGACACCAAGTCTTTACTGGGGCAGTCAGCTTCATCGTTCTCTCCCAGAGGGGCCGTGGGCTTGAATTGCTGACCTGGCAATTAGCGGCTCAACACTTAGCCCACTAGACCAAGAGGGTTCTTTTCCTACTCCACAGAAATACCAACTTTGTTGGTACGTTAGGCACCATGACTCATGCTATCATTGGACAGGGTGTGAATTGATTGTATATTTAATTCTTCTGGTTGCCAAAAGCCCTGCCAAGGCACTCTTGTTTGGGGTTTGTGTTTTTTTTTTTGCCCATTTAGTTTTATTCCATCTGTTTAATCAATCTAATTAAGTCCATCTTTTTATATCCATAAAAATTACACAAGTTTATCCATCCAGTAGAAATAGAAAGAAGCATCCCCTCCCATCGTCACACTGGAACTGGAGCGATGTGAGATGAGCTATGGGTTCTTTATACCACAGTAATGATGAATTTGTTTGGACCCCAGCCAAGGGCCCTGTTTGGTTTCCTTTTGATTAGGTACTGATTAAAAAGGCTAAGTTGATAGCTAAGGGTCTAGTTCAAGGCCTTAGAATTAAAGTACCGAACTCACTGCCATCAAGTCGATTTCAATTCCTAGTGACCCTAAAGGCCAGGGTAGAACTGCCCCTGGGGGTTGTTTCTGAGACTGCCACTCTTCAGAGGAGTGGAAAGCCTCATCCTTCGAAATTACCTGAATGAAAATTAAACTCGTTGTCTTAATTTTGTAAGTTAATGAACCCACCAATGAAAAGATAATTGAGCCATGGGTGAAAGGCTTGTTAATAGGCATTCTAGCTCCATAGAGTCAGTCCCCAATATCCCTGGCACCATCTGCTCTTCAGTAGCAAGATCCTGCTTTCCAACCAGAGATGACAAGTAAAACCAAGCAGTAGTTGACATCCCATTACACTCACGGACACATTTCCTAATGACGCTTTACAGAGAAATAAGCAAATGAGATGATGGAGCTCTTACGATGTGCTGGGTTTGTGCTGTAATGCACTCACTAATTTAGCCTGCCGCACAACTGCACATGTGTATCTGAATATTTACTCAAAATGTGCAAGGGGTTGTCACCACGTGAGCTCATAATCATTTTATTCACTGCTATCAGTTTTCAGAGCCAAGTTCAACTTATAAAGTATTTATAGACTCTTTGGATGTGCCAAGTGCTTTAAAAATTATTTTATTTAATCTCAACAACCCTGCTTTGAATAAACAGTTTGTTATTTAAAATCAAAATTGCCTGCAGATGCTTCTGCCTTCCAAGGTTGAGGTTGGGGTTGGCGAACGTAAAACAGCAGAGAGAAAACAAATGCCTACATCGTTTCCTTCCACATCACAGAGGCTGTGGGGGAGAAGGGAAAGAATAGCATTGAATAGTAGTCTCTGCCACTTACTCTGTGTTGAAGTAGATGGTTCTTAGTCTAACAGACAATAATAACGATTTCTGAAGGTGCAGATGTAGCCTCAAGACTAGGTGGAAGAGAGAGCTAAATTGCTCAGTAAAGCAAACAAACAGGTGGGAAAGTGTGTTAGTCTTGGGAGACTAGAGAAACAAAATTCATAGACACTCACATTTTATAAGAGAGAGTTTGATATAAAGGGTAATTGTACATTAAGAAAGCATCCCAATCCCGTGCTGTCCATAAGTCCAACATTAGTCCATATGTACAATACCGATCTATAAAGTCCTCCTCCATCTCACAAAACACACATAATGATGCTGACTGCAGGAGGAAAGCCAAATCAGTGAGTGTGTAAGCATCTCAGCGCTGGCAGGGGTCTCCACACAGCTGCTCCAGCACCCAGGGCTGCATCAGGGTAGGTCCATGTGGCTTCTCCTCGTGGATGTCTTGCAGGAAGTGAGCCTTGCCAACTGAAGTGGGGAACTGGCTAAGGCACCTGCACTCTGATCAGACCATCAGAAAGCAAGCGACCAGACAGGTGAGGCTTGCCAAGCCATTTAGCTCTGTCCTTCAATTAATCCCGCATGTATTCATCAGCCAGGCTGGCACAATAAACCTTAACTATCACATAAAGGAACTGGGAATTTTAAAATCTGGGAAACTTGGAGGGAGATCAGGGCAATGTGGTGATATCAAAGCATTCAATAATTTCAAATCTTTAGGAGAACATGCTCACATAGAAAACCTTGAGTTATTGATTTGAGGAAGAAAATTACAGTGAACAATGGATGCTCACGTCTAATGGACATGGAACTAAACACTGAGTCCAATGGCAGCGAGTGGCATACTGGTGAAAGTGACTGTTCTCCAGAAGTTAGAGCTCTGGGTCACAGTGACTAAGAACATTCCCCTTACCTGAAACTGAACTTATGATCCAGAGCAGGGCTTGAGGTCAGATCAACTGGCTTTACATCTCAAATGTCAGTGTTCTAAGCCAACATACAGGTTACATGTGGAACTGTTTTCTTTCTTTCTCAAATAAGAAAAACACTTTTGCAAATAAGAACCCTTCATAAACCTGTATCATAATACTAAATGATATGGTAGTTGCCTTAACTCGCCTGCCGATATTCTCCACTAGACTGAGGGCAAAAACTATATCCCTTATGTGCATCATCCAGTAGCCAAAACAATACTCAACATATACGTTAAATGAATAAAATTGTACAAAGGCAAAGGCCTAGACCTACCTTATTCTTAAGCTCATGGTCTGTCCTCTTATTGAATCACCTCTCTTCCCACCAGGAGCATAACGCATTTACCCTTAGCCAGGTATTATACCCCTGTATTAGAGCAATAACCTTCATGTATTCTAAGAAGAAGAGTCCTCATCTTCCATTCTCAAAGTCTCTGTATTGCCCACAAAGGCACACAATGCCCACATTCAGGATAGGCCCACAGAATAATTCATTACTAGAGGAGAATGATATGGGTGTCAATAATGGGAAATATGGACAAAAATGAAAAGAGTTTAACTTTCCTGGACATTGCTAAACACAGTAGGCAAGAAAGCTATATAAACGACGTTGCACATCTTAAGAACTAAGTTTTTAAATTACAGCAAATAATTAAACAACCGTGAGAAACTCCATAATTGATGTTTCCCACTCTGGGAGAAAAGCAAGAGCTTTTCAGAGAAAATGGGTGTCCTTTCCTGCTTTGAATTAGGCCACAGAGCTATCTTAATATCAAAATTACTGGCATCACTAAGAGTCACCAGATCATGACACAAATGAAATGGAGCTTCTCAGAACAAACATAAACACGTTTCCAAAGCATGACAAAGAGATCCTATCAAAATACTAACTACATTTTAACACAAATAATGGACCAACAGTTTGGAGAATTACTAATATTTTTTTCTTCTCAGAGGAAATTATGTATCACACGTTCAATTTCTCCACCTTTAGGAGCAGGGAAATACCTGGTAAGAGAGACGAAGTGACGCTAAGGAGTGGACTGAGGATGAATGCGCCCATACCGAGGAGGAAGGGAGAACAGATTATGAGGAATCCTGATTAAACACAAAGCTTGGCCGAGCAGCAAAGCACCAGGCAGACAGGAGAAATCAGACCCTGACAGGCAGTTCTGTGCCATGCCTAGAATATCAATGGAAAGAAACTCAGGTATAATCCTTGGCTGGCTGTATCTACTGCATTTCCTGAATCAATATTTAAGCATTCTTTTAATATACAGTGGTTGCTTAATCCGAAACCTAGATTCAGAACAGCCAAGCGAAATGGAGCTTTCACCCTCACATATCACACTACAATGCTTAGGGCTTCTGTCACTAGAGGAAATCATGCATGGTGGGAAATGGACCTCCTTTTCCTTGTTTTGCATGTCACAGAATTCATATTGATAGGCAAGTTGCCCATTAGAGGAATGGATGTGTATTCATTAAAGCTCTGTATTGTGGGCTGCATATCTAGTAGAGATGTTGTGAGCATTTTCGGGTAGCAAATTCATGCCATTATAAGCCTTGTGTGTTCCTGCAGAGTAACAACACAGCCTATCTAATATACAACGATGGCGTCCCTAATGGAGTCTCCATGTCTGTGAATTACAGCCGAAAGCACGGACACACCAAAGGTATGACGATGGCCTTTTGCTTCTATGTCCCATTGGAAATCAACTTTTTTGCATACATATCATTATAAATGTTTTCTATATTTTATGCTAAAAAGATAGCATGACTTTTCTTTTTACAGGTTTATCTTGAGTCCTTGGAACGTATTACTTCTGTATCACAAATTATACCATACTTCAATTTGGCAAATTCCTTCTCACAAATCACATTTTTATCTCTTAGCATATTTTAAAAATAGTTCTATTGGCATATACTTGACACATATGCAAGTTAATTGCTTCATTGTATTAAGAAGAGTTGTGCAATCATCACCACAATCAATTTCAGAACATTTTCTTGTCAAACTCATGGTTGTTAGTTCTCCGTTTCCCCCATCCTCCCCTGCCATGCCCCCAGATAATTATTAATCCAGTTACTGTCTCTGTAGATTTACCTATCCTGGATTTCACATAAAGAAGATCATACAAAACACAAACAAGAAGCAAATAAACAAAACAGACACAGGAATAATAACTGGACAAAGCAGAAAATATTAAAAACTGAAACTTTAAAATGGGCCAAAAGGGAAATCAAATGATAAGGTATTACATTTTAACCTAACTACATCTCCCATAGTCAGCTTTATAGCATCCTGTCTGATAGCAAGTCTATTCATATCCCTCTTCAGAGAGGATTCCCTGAAGGTTGACTCCATGTGTGGACCTTGCAAATGGACTTTGGGCTTCCAAGGCTCAAAAAATAAAAAAAATCAAGAACACAATACCATTTACAGTAGCCACACAAAAGATGAAATACATAGGAATAAATCTGAGCAAAAAACCAAAATACCAGTACAAAAAATATTACAGAATATTATTACAAGAGACCTACACAAGTGGAAGAAAAATCCCATATTCATGGATAGGAAAGCTTAATATTGTGAAACCGTCAATACTTTCTAAAGCAATCTATAAATACAATACAAATCCTAACTTCATTCTTTAAAGAAATGGAAAAACTAATTACCAACATCACCTGGAGCGGGAAGAAGCCCAGGATGAGCGAAAGAAGAACAAAGTAAGAAGCTTCACACTACCTGACCTCAAACCAGCAACACAGCTCTGTTAGTCTAAACAGCTGGTATGGTGCAATGATAGATACATAGAATGAAGGAACAAGAAGAGACCCCAGAAATAAAAGCATCAACCTACAGGCAACTAATTTTCAGCACAGTACCAGAAAACCTTGAATGGGAATGGGACACCCTCTTCAACAAACGGTGCTGGAAAATTGGATCTCCATCTGCAGAAGAATGAGACAGGATCCATACTTCTCCCCATGCACCAAAGCAAGCTCAAGATAAATTAGAGACCTAAAGGTAAACTCCAGGGTTATCAGGATCAACAATGAGAAAATTAGGACAAACTTAAGGACCTTATTGGAGGGCATACAGAAACTACCAAATATCAAAAAGGAATCACACACAGTGGAAGACAAAATTGATGAACGGGATACATTAAAAATTAAGCTCTTAGACACGCCAAAAGAATTCATCAAAAGAGAAAAATGAGAGCCTGTAGATCGGGGAAGAATTTTTAGCAATAACGCAATAAACAAAGGACAAATTACTAAAATCTGAAGAATTCTTAAACACCTCAATAAGAAAAAAACGAAGTGAGGGGTAGTGGGGAGCAAAGGACATGAACAGACAATCCACGAGG